GAAATTATATGTAAAATTGATTATATAGGCCAAAATTAATTAACAACTCTTCCTTCATTATCAAATACAATTCGTCCTATTTGTGATTTCAAAGCTGACTAATCTTATTTAATTGAAATTTATATTGAAACTGTACTCTTCAAGTAAGTTGTTTAACTAGAAATAAGAAACGTACAACAAAAGCATCACCAATCCTTGCATACAAATGTCTCATAGCCAGGAAATCGCGGGAACCACTAGAATCGATTACCTAAAATGAATCCATCTATTTATCAATCAAAAAACATGATCAAAAAATAATGAAAAGTGGAATTTTCCTAAAATTTGCTTATAATTAATCAAATAATTGTACCTGTAGAAGTGTCGTGTCACCGTCATCTTTCTTATACTCAATCCAATTGAATTCTTCTACTGTTGGTCGGTACTCTTTGATAAATTCCTCCCATAGAAACTGACCCACAAGAGCACTTTTGCCAACCTTCAAATAAACACCAATCAAACTTCTTGCTTGACCAATTTGAATTTTTATGCAGAATTAAACGTTCAATATTTGTATGAAAAATGCATACTTTAGAGCCTCCTAAGACGAAAAGTGTATACTGGGATGTCGTGATACCAGAAGAATTATGCCGTTCACGGGTTAAGCCAAATTTTAAACGCATCCCGGGTACATTCCGTGTTCTTGGAATTCCACTCCAATTTCCTGAATTAATTGAGGGATGGTTATAATAAGAAGTAGAAAAATGGTCCGCGCATATCTAACTTCGTATGGTTTTTCATTGTAACAGAGAGTTTTTGAGATTATTGAAATTTAATTTCTGAAATTTACTGAAATTCAAATTCAAAACTCAAAAAAAAATATCCAACAGGAATGCATATATATAGTTTTTGCATTGTTTGTTCATCAATTGATCCATCCAAACTCATACACATACATACACATATATATACATACATAGAAAACCTTGGATTAGCACATAATACGAATTTGAATTTTTTCTAGGCTAAACGAAGCGCAATATTGATAGTAAGATAAGTCTTAATGAGACTGTCGTGGATGGGCATTCCTTCCAGCGGTTGTTTATTATTCTAGTGATGGTTCTAATGTCACCAATGATGTCAGGCATTTATTTGTGCTGCCTAATTAGTGGTTAGATAAGCGTCAAAGCTTAACATAAGCTAACCATTGCATAACTACATCTTCGTGACAAATGATAGCTTTGAGATGAATATACCACAATGAAGTTAATATTACTAGTTTTAAATAGGATAGCATGAATTTCATTGTCGAATTGATTTAATTCATATAGCACTGATCAATGAAGTTGAAAATATTAAATCCTATTTTAATCATTGAAAGATTATTATTACTCTTCAACATGGTGACAACTTTTAGCTCTGATCAGGAAGATAAATGTTTGAGAGAGGTGAATTATATGCTCCAGTCGATATAGTTTATCTTAGAGGAAACTATTGCTTGGACTATTTTACTAGTAAATATATAAAAGTATGCAAAATAGAGCATAATTAAAACCATTAAAGTTCATTAGCTAATTTATTGCGTATGATTCGGTCTAAAATTGATTATTTCAATTTTTTTTCTCACCGAAAATTCTAACTTAACTGTAATGATGACACATTATCCAACATTTGATTAATACTATTCAAGGCCTGTTGTATTGATATTTAATTTCTTATTCATCATTTTTCAATTATCATTAGGATATTTGTGCTGCTGAACAATTTGACACCAATTACTAAAATTTCAATACCATTATGTTTTTACTCTCTCCTCAATTAATTGATAATAATTGGTCAAATTTTAGAGAAAAAAATAATAATGAAAATGTGTTTATCACCGGATATTTCAACTATGATTTATTTCATTTAATATCATTTGAAATGATTGACATTTTCTACGTTGATAAAAGTGATAA